TCTTTTTGCCAAATCATGAAAGCTAAAAATATACTAATCACTATTCTTTTTTCTCTCTTGTTTCCGAAGAAGTCAATTTTTGGAAGGGTCACATTTTTAGGTCAAACCTATCACATATAGATGGCACGAAAACTTTGAGTTTATTCGAAAATGGGCTGAAATAAGACTTGTGTACATATTTTTATTTGAGACAGTTTTTATTTTTGAAGTTTTGAATCGGAAAAGGGTGTGAAACGACAAAAAATGCTTGCCAAAAATAAAATGGAAGAAAAGAAAAATGCAATCCTTCGGAAGCTTACATTGAAGTTCAATTGAACCAATTTAAAAAGTAACATTTGATTGAAATATTTTTGAAAATCACCAAACGAAAAATTCGGTCAAAATGTATTTGATTAAAAACATTTCTCGTTTACAAAATTAGGATCGTCGATTCAAATCGGTCATAAAAGTTTTGGATGTAAAATCGAAAATGGTAATGTGCACTTATTTTGTCATAAATGCATTGCAATTTGATCATAAATGTAAATGTGGAAGAGCCATCAGAGTTTCACTCTTGACAATCATACCCATATACATGGTACAGTGTAATATTCAATTGCGATACTAAATTTGATGCAATCGAAGAGCAGCCCACAGAAGAAGAGAAAAAAAAAATTATGTCAAAAAATAACATAAAATTGTTTTATTTGCAACTCTAGTTGTGGCTCTGTGCATATAGTCCCAAACTGAAATGGGAATATGCGTACCACACACAACATGACTTATTTATTTATAAAATAATCGAAAATTCGACAATATTTTATTCATCTGAATTCTCAGTTCGGTTGCGGTCGACATGTTCGAGCTGATTGGCTACTGTTGTGCTCAGTGGGTTTTGTAAACGATTATCAGTATTTTCTGTTGATGATGTTTTATGTGCAGTCGCTGTTTTTTTTTTTTGCCAATGTTGTTACAGCTTCTGTTGTTGCCACACTATTTTTATAAACCATTTCCCAATGCCGTCACAAGCCATTTTGACATCGCGTATGTGCTCTGCTCGCCAAATATGAATATTCAAACCGAAAACACTCGATGGCGAACAGAGAAAGAGAGAGAGAGAGGGAGGGATTGAGAGCAAACATAAGAGAAGAGAAAAAGAGTAAAATGCGAGCATATTTTAGCATATCACATATCCCGAACCGAAAAGTGCACATAAATTTTAAATGAGATAAACGGACATTCGTCAATTTCATCAGCAATAAAATATAAATAAAATAGAAATTTCACTTGGTGTCATATCACTCGCAAGCAACAGCAACGGGAATATTACTGTGTTTGCTTTATATTCCATATTTTTTTTTCTGTTTTTGAATAATGTTAAAGTGGCATGCAGATGACGATTAGATAGAAGGTATTTTGATAGCAAAATGTTCAATTCGATTCCCAATGAATCACTAAAAAACACATCACACGTTTCCATTTTGCCATGGCCAAGTAAGTTATTTTTCTTTCATTTTTGATGGCAAGAGCAAAATGAAAGAATTGACGTGTGCGATACTTTTGTCGTCTTTATGCCAAATTGAAATTTATTGTACATTTTCAAAAGCATTTATGATTTGAAGCCGAGCACCAGAGAGGAAGAAAAAAGAAGTCAGCAACCGAAATGCATATGACATGTGCGCATTTATGTTTGTCAGTCGCATTAAGGATGGAGCATCACATAAAATATAGATGGCCGGAGTGAGGGATTGAAAGGGTTGCCCCCCCATACCACGTAATAATACTAGCGAGTGAATTTAGATAATATTTCAATATTTGAAGAATTGACAAAATGGACGATTTTGATATATATAAGATTCACATTCATATTTTTTGCCCCGAATTATCATTTTAATAGGCCATTCCCTATGAGAAATTTCTTTCAATTTGTTGTTAATCTGATATCCACTTTTAAGTGATGAAAATTCAACTTGCCATCTTGAATGAAATATTTGATTGAATACAAAGTTATATGTTCGTAGCAATTAATTAAATTTTGGCGCACAACAATAAATTTATTTGTGAATTCAAATGCTTTATTTGCGTACGCCAATTCCAGAACAGCCATAAATTTTCCATGAAACTTCCATTTCAAAACCAGTTTGAATGAACTACAAAAGTCTGGAACACAAAACGACACCAAAAATGCTAACATTTTTGCTGTTTCTCTCTCTCTCTCTCTCTTTCGCACTTTGTGTGCGTAATTATTTAATAATTTTTGCTAAGCAAATTGAAGGAAAAGTTTTGTTCAACTTGTACAACAGAAGGAAGCCGTATTTAATGGGATAGCTGATATCATGCAGCATAAGCATACATATATACGATTGTAGACACATTTCAAACGCATTTCACACTCAACACAAAACCCAAATACAATTGGGTATCATTTAAAAAGTTTTTAGCGTATTTTATATAGATTTTCCCATGTTTCTTCGCCATGCCTGTTCATTTTCCGTACATTTTACGTTATTGTTGCCACGCTTTCATCTCACTGAATCTAGTGTTTTATGTGTCGAACAATTAGTAACAAAATGAGAATACGACACGAAACCACGCACATTTTCCCGCTCGAAACTTTCAAAAACACCAACAAAACTTGAAAACATTCGTAATATTTTCCAAACAAAATTATTCGCTGTAATTGCGTTGTTATTGTACCAAAGTGCACTCATCAGTGAGCGACGAGTGCTCGTTCGACAAATGCGAATGATAAAGATGTTATGCACAATTTGTAAGCAATGAAAAGCGCATAAATGACAAAACTTCACACAGCTCACCAAAATGGAAACAACAACAAACGGACGAGCGAAAAAGAAATGTTTCCTTTTTTTCTCGTTACTTTCATAAAAGCAAGACAAAAACAGTCGTAAACATTTTTGTTGCTGCTTCTTGAACCAAAACTTCACTCTGTTTCTTTCACCAATTGTACAAAGAAAATTTACATCTTAATCCACATTATGTTGACTTAAGAGGCAAACGATTTTTCATCATTGTTTTGTACGATTGCCGTATTGCCGTTTGTACATGGAGTAATGTGCAAAGTTTTTCCCCCGCTTTGAAATTCCACTTAAATAGGCTAATAAGTGTTAAGTTGATTTTGACTTGAAACAGACAACATAACTTTTGCCACTTTAATTCGCTACAAAAGTTACAAATTCATTACCGAAAGGGACATAAAAAAACCAACGGGAGTTTTAAAAATTGTGTCATTTTTTTGTGAGATGATTTTGTTCCTCAAAATCTCCGCACATCAGATTCACACTGTATCCTTGACTCACATTATGACGATGAAATCAAACTCTTGCCTTTAGTCACCAATAGCAATGCAATAGAACTTCAAGGCAAATGTATTCCGTCAAATTCAATAAAAATCGAAATGATGCTCGCGTTTTTTATGCTTTTAGTTCAGCATTCCTGTTTTGGTTTATGTACTGAATCTCTATAGCATTAAGCGCGGATTTTTTTTTGTTTATCAAATTGCACAGATGTGCTTGTTTCACTGGATTTGATTCCAATCGATACGATACTTGCCGTTGTGCAAGCTGATACGTATACCAAATCTCCTTTAACAATTGTTTTCGAACTTTGCTTTTCCACTAAAAGCATTCACACCATGAGGATTGGCATCTTACCGGATTTTCGCACAAATGCGAATCGGTTATGTTTAGAAATCAAAATTTAGGTTATGCTTATATGAAACACAAAGCTATAGCATTTTATTCTCTATAGAGAATTGAATTCGAAAATATAAGCATCACAATCACTTTAAATCTGATATGGAAATTCACCCATATCCCCATCGATACGAAACGAGCAGAAGAATAGGTGAGAGAAAATGGAAACGCAAAGATCTGGCACAAAATAAAGAATTCACATATTTTCGATGAGGGCAATGATCAAAAGCAATGAACCACGTCAGAAAACCAGAGCAGTTATAGGCATCACGGAGGGTTGGACACTTTTCTTGTAAGTGCTACTCTTTCTGGTATTCAGGTGCGGAACTTGAAAACTGATATGGAATAAGTGCTGGCACTCATTAGTGGTCGCACTACTCCGGTGTCAATAACAGCTCTGCAGAAAAAAATATTAAGAAAAGAGTCGACTAATTAAAATGACGATGCTTGAAGAATATCATATGTTTGGCCCGCAAATACTGGCTACTTACAAGTCCCAGGCACGTCCAGTCCAAATTTTGCACTTTGCAAATCTTCCGAAAAACTCCGTGACTTTTCCCAACGTTGAAGCACACTTTCACGTCAAAAGAATGATAACAACAAACAATTTTAAATGGCATACTATTTTTCTCAAATTTAAGTTATTGCTCGAAGCATCAAACTTTGACTACTCGTCCATATTTTGAAACGAACTGTATTAGAAAAAGCCGGTACCTTTGAAATCGAGTCCAATCGAAAGATTTCTTGACGTCTCTTCTCAAAATATGTGTAAAGGTTTGTTTTCCTAAATCAGATATCAGCGATTTAAAAATTATGAATTTTGAATAAAATCTTTAAAAATAGTTCTTTTTAATGTGTTCCACTATTGCTTTGTTTGCTTTAAAAAAATTGTTTTGGCTTTTGATTCGTTGATATTTAGCTTTTCAATGGAGGACGGTTAATATTCTATAATAAGCTTTCTCTCAATACATAAAATAGCCTACATTCCATACATCTTTATGATATGTTTATTTATTTATCGGCCAAAAACTATCTTTTAAATATTTTCAAGCTTTTCTTTATTCAAATAATTATTCTAAAAATTAAATTAAAATCGATAGTTTTATTATATTTCTTGGTTAAAGAAAAGAAACATTATGAATAAAAACAGATCGGAAGCTTCATTGACCCTAACGCCATCTACCGGAAGTAAAAAAAGCATGCTCAACGTAAACTCTATCGATGTACTAAAACTAGAACAGAGTTTTGATGTGTTGAAATGTCATTCAGTTCTGTCAAGCATTTCTTTCAATACAAAAACACGTGTAATCAATTCAGATGTGTGTTTATTCCGCATGTTGTTTTGCGACAAGAGTTTAAGTTTCTTTAAAAAAAAATTTATTTAGAAAAATTAGTGAAAGTAAAAAGTAAACAAAAATAGTGTGAAATATGTCGACATCTTTAGCGGAACAATTGCGTCGTTTGAAAACGCCTCAAACGACTTTGTTGGTTGATAGCAAAAAACGTGCATCGATTTTGTTCAATCCAAAGGAAGCGGCTGAAAAGGATCGTGAAACTATTTTCGATATTGGTTACAGTGGTTTTGAAGAGTTAATCAAATTGAATCCGGCCTTTTTGCAATTTGAATCGTCACTTTTCGATAAAAATGCACGTGAATTTCAACGAGCCGTAGAAAACAAGGACATAAACCGTCAATTGAAAGAAGTGATTAAGAAATTTCTCATTCATTTATCGCCTTATTTGCTGTTGCAACCTTCACATAAATGCTTGGAATGGTTAATTCGTCGTTTCAACATCAATTTATATGAAAAGAGTGAATTTATGATGTTGATTTTACCATATCATGAAACGACAATTTTTGTGAAATGTCTTCAAACAATGAATGTAAGCGATGTAAATGATTTATGGCATTGGTTGGAGCCGGTGAAGAAAAACGGAGTTCCGTTATCAAAACAAGCACTGTTGAATCGAGTGGGCAGCGATAATTTTCTTATGTCGTTCATTTGCGAATCGATTGTTTATGCGGTGAATGAGCTTGACACACGGTCACACACGCTACAAGTATACTATGCATTCTTCTGCACATCGATCATTGGCGCATTGGATGCTGTTAAAATCAATGAATCACACATTACAAACATTTATGGAGCCATCCGAAAGGGTATCAAATCAACGTCGATCGACTTTTGTGCTGCTTCTCTCATGATTATCGGACAATTGGTGAATAAAGTGAAGCTAAAACGCGAAATATTGGAATCATTCGTTAATATGCTGCTTGAACGAGTATCGCACGCTAAATTGCAACAGGATGTCATCATTTTGCTGGTGCTTATTTATCGCAATCAGAGCGAAACTATTGGAGATATTTCCCAAGAATGTCTCACCAAATTACTAGTGAATACCAAGTGGTTACCACCAGTTTTGGCGAAGATTTACACCGAGAACGTCAATATTTTACCATTTTACTTGCCACTTCTGTCGGCTTGTCTCAAGCACGTTCAGTTAAAATCAGGCAGTTGGAAGAAATGTCGTAAATTCTGCGATGCACTGCTTTCGGAGATTTTCTTTAAACCAGAACATGCTGAAAGTGTCATTCGGTAAAATAAAATGATTTCTTCATTTTTTTTCAAAATTTTTAATTATTTTATTCCTTATTTTTCTCTAGCTGCACGTTGGACTCGTTTATTTTAACTGAAAAAGTTGACGACACCATCATTGAAATCGAATCGGGCAACGAAGATGAGGATATGGAAGGGACTGATAAAGGTATCACCACCTGGTATACCAACACATTAAAGGCACTTGAACGTCGCTATCCAACCACATTCGATGCGATTGTAAAAGAGATCGTTCGATCAGACAACAAATCGATGAGTGAACTGAAAAAGCGTTCACTAAAGAAGGTATTGAGCTTCTTGTTCACCATCGTTTGTGCCGATGACAATGTGAATCTATTCGAAAAGTTATACCATTACAATGCTCAGCAACGTGTTGAAGCCATAAAATACTTGGTGAAAAACTTGAGCAAAATGAGTTTTTCAGACGATAGTAAGAGTTTGCTGAAGGGCAGCATTGCGGAACGTCTTAGCGATGATTCTCCATTGGTTGTAAAAGAAGCGCTTAAATTCAACAATTCGGCTTTGCTTCGGTTCATGAATAAAGCTGAACTCATTAAGAAATACGTAAGCATTTTGGAGCAAACACTAAAAAAGCCAAAAGTATGGGAAGATACCGCATTGGAGGCAGTCAAGCACTTGGGTGACCTATGCTCAAAAAATTTCCCCATTGAGATTTTGGTGGCAATTTTACCGTTGTTATTACAACCATCGGAACTTAGTGTTGGATTTTTGCGTAAGATTTTCATTTCTGATTTGGCAAATCATGTAGAATTGATTAAAGCATGCAAAGATGCAACGGCGGGCACTGGCGATAATAAGGAAGCTATGACATCGGCCATCTTGAGAGTATTTGAGTCGAAAAAAGGTCTACCGCAAATTGGACACATTTTGAATTTCATTAAATCAACCAGTGACGAGGATCTATCGCTGAACAAAGCATTCTATGCTATGCTATTGCTCTTCCATTCATTTAACGTCGAGAAACCGAATCCATTGCATTTGCCGGAAATTTTGAATGTAATCGAACGATTTGAAAAGCAATTTAAAATGGGAAACTCAGACAGTGCCAAATGGCCAAGTTCGGTGGCTAAAGGACGGTATCCTGTAAATATTCATATTGCGTTCATCAAAAAAATCATTGACACACAAGCGAAAATTGTACAAGACCAATTCAAAGGTAAATTTATTGAATTCAGCAAACCAATGACCAATTTATCTTTGTTGCGTCAAATTTTTGAATATTTTATTGCGCAAATGAGTCGCCGTCAGTCGAAATACGCATTGTTTGAGGATGGTTTGAAACATTTTATCGCAAAATTATTTGACGATCCGCAAAAATGCATTGAATATCTGTCAAATTACTATACAATCGATGTATTATATCCGGAACCAAACAATTTGGCACCCAGCACCATTTCGATTGAACATCAAGTGTTCATCATCAACTATGTGAATTCACTCATTCAAACCGAAGATGGCGTTCTTCATGGTGTTCAAGTTCAATTGCAACCATTTGTTCGTATCATAAATGCACTTCGATCACCGAATAGTGAGGTTAGAGAGGCAGCCTACGACACATTTGTCATTCTCAAATCAACCGATCAGCCGAAATTCAAGACTTTGATTTCAAAACTTGTTCGACGTCAAAGTGAAATTTTAATGGATGACAATCAATTGCCGCTGATTTTATTCAAGATTTTCGATAAGAAACCATCAACCGACCTTACCAATAATCTAATGGAATTTATGGAATACATTGCAACGTCTAATGACAATGAATTTTTGGTGGCTCATCTCTTGGAGGCACTTACCCATGTCAATAGCGAAGAAATTCTCAAATCCATTGTCAATATTGCCATGGATATTTTGACAGCTGCCAATGAAGAGATGGAGAAAACGGCAAAGAAAGTTCTCTGCTTGGATCACTTCAAATCGACCATTATTCGAAATATTCTATCACGTTACACTCAACAAACGATTAAACTCATCAAAAAATTGTCATGTCCATGGCAAGTTTTGCTTAAGGCGGCCGAATCGTATGGTGTATTGTTAAAGGGAAAATCAAAAGAGACACCAGTCACACACGTTATTGTAGACGTATTCAATGATGATCTGTTCAACGAATTGTCTGAGGCAAATCAACGTCAATTCATTGCTGCATTAGTTAACAGCGCTACATATGCTGAAAACGCTGGATTGTACACAAATATTAGCAAATTTTTCAAGCAAATTCAATTGAATGGCCGCATTTGTGTGGAAATTCTTGACGAAATGGCCAAAACAGATCAATTTGAACGAATGGAAGTGGATGAAGTGCCGGCAACGACACGACAACGTCGTAGTTCACAGTGTGCCAGTGATGGTGGTGCTTCGGCCGAACTATTGAAAATGAAATCATGGAAAAGAGGCGTTACATGGCTAGAATTTTTACAAAATAAAAAGAATATTAATGATCCACACCGTATGATTCCATCGTTGTTTGCCGTACTACAAAAGTGTCTTCAATTTGAAGATCAATCGAATGTGGAATATGTGAAACAACTATCATTGGCCTGCCTCTATCATCTGTGCGTCATCATTGCTCCAGAGGGTAAAGTTCAAAGCAATTTGATTTCGGAGAAAAACTTCAAAATCGAACCGGTCGTTCAGTGCATTCGAGGCACACAAAATCCACAAACACATCACCATGCACTGCAATTGCTGTCGCATTCAGCAAAAATGTTGCCGGAACAAGTTCTGCATAATATGATGGACATTTTCACCTTCATGGGTTCGTCTGTGGTGAGTTTTATTTTTTTTTTTAAATTGTTATATCTTTTGACTAATTTGATCTTCTCCAATGACAGGTTCGTCATGACGATGTCTACAGTTTCCAAATAATCACGAATATCATTTCATCGATTATTCCAACATTAACACGAGTGAATGAAAATAAATCCGAGGCTGAACGCAATGAGCTTGTAATTCCAGTGTTGAAGGTATTTTCCGATATCATTCTCGACGTGCCCGAGCATCGTCGCCTGCCACTATACAATAAACTCTTGGACACTCTGAATGCTGACAATTATCTCTGGATGTTCTTAACAATTCTGATCGAGAACTACATAACGCATCATCAACCAGAAGTTGAGAAAACAATTCGTCAGCCATCTACATTGGCCGTTGAATTGCCACAACGAATTGAAATTGCATTGGCTTTGGCCAAAGAGTTCGATGCAAGAACCATCATAGTGACAGCAACAAAAATGATTGGCTTCCTACAGAAGATGCCAGTCAATAAGCCAACGAATGAATCGGAAAAAATACCCGCCGAAATATCAGCACTGTTCAATATAAATGCATGGTCAAAGAGACAATTCCGTCATTTCAAATACGAAACGCTTAAAGTCATAAACACACTAACATCGTCCGTTGATTTTGTAAATAAAGTGGCTGTACTGAGTGACGATGAAGCTGCAAGCATAAAGGAACACTATCAAAATGCAATAATCAACGTTTTAACATACATTCCAATCATATCGAAAGCAACCGAAGCTGAAAATTCACATGCAGACTATTGGAAGGCACTGCTTCATAATTGCTTTGACATTTTGGAAAATGTTATCTCGTTGCTATCATCAAATGTGCTATTGGTGGTTGTTCACGGATTGCTGTCGCATAAATTGTCCAGCGTACGACGTCGAGTCATTGAACTATTGATAAACAAGTTACAACACAATCCAGAGATATTCAGCAAGGAAAATGCAAAAGATTTGGTTTCATTGTTGGGTACGTGTTTCGTTACGAAATCTATTTTTATTTAAAAAAAAAAAAGCTAATAAATTCTGTTCTATTTTGCAGAACCACTCACGAAAATCATTGAGTCAATCATCGATGAGAAAAAACTTATGCAAAATGCATCATCCATTGAAAATACGGCCATTCAACAAATGGCACTGATGGCTGTAAAACTACTTAGCAAACAATTGGCTGAAAAGCATCCAAAAGATTTCAAGTATATTGTTGAGACTCTCATCGATATTTTGCGCAAAAGTGAAAAAGTGCCACGTATCTTATTGGCCACCGTTTTGTTGTGTCTATGTGAGATTTGTGCCAATCTTCGTGTGCATTCGATTGCATATTTACCAAGTTTTATGAAAATTTTCTTGGAAATATTGAAGGGATACACGAAACCGGAAAATGTTTGCAATGACGGTAGTGTATTGATTTATTTCGTGACTGGTTTATTAAAAATTGTCGGAACATTGGCCCTATACATGAGCCCATATCTTGTCGAAATGATAGTTCGACTATCACAAATTTGGTGGAATATCGAAACCGAGGCAACCAAAGATCCGAAACGTTCATTTGTTATCGATCGATTGAATGGCATTTGGGAGAAATTGTCAACAACATTGGAATTGCGTATTTTAATTCCAAGCATTGACCAGAGTTACAAGCGTTTGGTGAACGATGAGCAAAGTATTGCGATTGGACCGTTGATGTTGCTTCTAACACAAACATTTGAACAACAAGCAGCTGGAAATATTTCACGTTTCATGCCGGACATAACGTCATTCTTCATTACAGCACTTCAATTCCGTTCCGATCATGCCGACATCGAATTGGCCACTTTGAATAAACTTGAAGATAAAATTGTCAAATCCTTCGGTGCATTGACATTGAAATTGTCTGAAGGAAGCTTCCGACCGTTGTATTATCGCATCTACGATTGGGCCATAAAACAAAATAACAAAGATCTTGACCATACCATCACATACTTCCGATTGTCCATCGAAATTGCTAATTCGCTGAAATCTTTGTTTGTGCTCTTTGCAAATGATTTCATCGACGACATTCCTGAACTGCTGAACAAATCATTGGCTTCGGAATTCACAAAACCAAGCGATGTTCTCGTTGCCAAAACAAGCCTTTTGATCGAAGGTGTTATAGAGACACTTTATCAAGTATTTTTGCATGATAGTCGTGGTTTTATAAATGGAGCTCGTTTTGAAGCAATACTTCAACCGCTGGTCGATCAAATCGAGAACCAATTTGTTCTGGATTCACCGAAATTGATGAACTTGGTTTCATTAGCATTGGCACAACTTGGACAGGCTGTCAACGATGATATTCAATGGAAACAATTGAACTATCAAATCTTGATGAAGACGAGAAATAACGAATCACGCATACGGTACAAAATATTCATACAACTTATTTGTTTTTCATCAAAAGTACTTCAAACTAAGTTGTGTTATTATTCTTTTTTTTTTGTGTTTCTGCAGACTCTTCGCCTTGAAAGTTGGTGTGGCTTTGGCAGCCAAACTTGGAGAAGACTATATGCCACTGCTACCGGAAACCGTGCCATTCATATCTGAGCTATTGGAAGATGAAAATCCGGAGGTGGAAAAACAATGTCAATTGAGTGTACAAGAACTCGAAAAAATTCTTGGCGAACCACTACAAAAATACTTTTAAATCTGATCTTCGTTTTCGAACGAGTTGTTTTTTTATTTCAATTTAATTACATTTTTTATTGTATTTCGTTACATACAATAAAAAAAATCAAATAGTTAGTAAAAAATAAATTTCGTTTAATTTTCACTGTCATTAATCGTTATCGGTCACAAAATGAATAACGAAAAAAAAAAACCAAATGAATCAAAGTAGAATATTCTGAATGATATGAATTGAATTCAACGTCAGTTCATATGTCCACCGGAGACACTCTCTTATCACGAAATCGTGCAGGTAATCACCTTTGTTTGAGAAATATACGACCATAAACTTTCCTAATCAAATACAAACGAGATATATGTATAATGAAATCATAGAGTTGCGTGTATAACGATATCACATAAAATATAGCTCTATCAATGGAACGGAGTTCGTTTCGTTTGTATACGTCATTTTTCAAGTGATTAATGAAAAATCTTTTATTTACATTGCGTTGAGATAACAATTGGTTTTTGCTTCAGTTTCGTCTCAGTTTAATACAGATAAACACAATCAGATTCCGTCGGGTTTTGATAACGTGTTTCCCATCAAGCCATTTAGAAGCAGATGATATATTCCACATGATTCGTCTTTACTATCTTTGATTCTTATTCTTGGAATTATTTTTTTTTTTTTGAATGAAGAACCTTAATAAATCATATTAAAATTGAATTTCTTTGGAAGTACTATAGTTATAACGATGACAAATAGACAAAAAATGTACTCTAATATATATATTAATAATAACTCTGAATTTAATGAAAATATCTGCATAAAATCGTATATAATAACTTCATTGGCAAATCTAAATGAATAAATAAAACTTGAACACATTTTTTTTCTGAAAGAAATCGTTGTCGATGAAGCCATTTTTGAAATTATTCCTAGAAGTTTCGACGTTTTAATATTTATGACGGGAATTTCACAGAATATCATAAAAATTAAAAACAAAAACATTCTCGCTGATATTATCTCATCGAACAAAGTGCAGGTACATGAGGTGGAAATTGATGAAAAAAGTTCACGTGATTGACATTTATATCTTGAATGGATTTCAAGTGAACAGTACTTCAAGATTGGAAAAGTTGTATTTGCTTTGTTAATTGACCCCTGATTCTTGGGGTCAAAATTGTTTTTACAATTGATTATCGAACCACACTGGTTGGATGGAAATCTCAATCGTTGTCATCAAAAAATGTCCATATGTTGGTCGCAATATATTTCGATTGCCTATAGGCATGTAATCATTTTAATTGAATGCATACAGTAATCTCTAATAATTACGTCTGTCGAATGTTTGTGTCATTGTATTCTCACAAATAAAAAGAATATTTTTATGCCTGAAAAAATGATGGTATTTATTCATTCATAATTTTCTGCTAAAAATAAAAATGAGTACAATTTAATCACAACTCAAAAAAACTCATAATTAAATTTATCAAAGTAAAATAAAATTCGAGCAACCGACGAAATGTATATATTTCGAAATATCCAAATAAATCGAGTTCCATTCAACCGATGTTATGTTAATTTAAAATTTATAATGTGAATGTGAAAATGATTTTATGTGATTGAAATAAACAGCGTCATGGGTCTTTAAACTCATTTCGTTTAGTACAATGTTAATAAGTAAAATGGAAATAATTCAGTCGAAATATTAAAGCAGTGATTTGATTAGATGTCATGCACGTGCGACATGAGAGCAAAATTGTAAATTGTGTATCGAAAATAAAATTAGTTCCGTATTATTTTGGGGCGATTGCATGTGTGATGCAACTCAATTCCTGGATTAATTTAAATCCATCACATAGACAACCATTGAATTTGTATTCGGATCAGCGTTACATATACGCAACATTTAAATCAAATCGGAGGATGAGCAATTAAGTTACATTCAAATGACAGATAATAATTATTGTCATATCGTTGCCATATAATTCAATTAACTTTGGATGAAGAGTTACTGTGTGAGCAGCCAGCCACCTACCTCTATATTCATGCACGCAAACATCAACCATTTGAACACAGAACTATTCATATCTATGTATATTTGATGCGTACTATTACAAACAACTCAATTACATTTTATCGTTCATGGCCCATACCATTTAATATCGTTTGTCGTGTTTCTCGCTCTCTCTCACTTGCCGTTTGATCGCAATTGTCAACCTGCCGCTCGTTTGTATTGTATTGTTAAGACTGTATAGAGAAAAATATGCTATTTGTTGGGATGCGTCAATAGCTCCAAACAGAAAAAAAAATCATCTAAAATATGTGTTTACTTCTTTGAATTATCGCATTAGCTATATAGCTGTTGGCCAGTAAACACTGAACCACCAAAGTTTTTTATATCAAATTTTCAAAGTATTCTATGATTAAAGTTGAGTTGAGACACATTGAAAAAAAAATCACAGTATGGGAGTAAACGGGCTCAATGACGGGTTAGTTCCGATTTTAAAATTCAAAATCAATTTTTGAACCAGTGATTTGCAGGGAAAAATATATTGTGATTCAGAATATAGTTTTAAGAATTTATCATAATGCAATCAAGTTAGTTTTACCTGAAAAAAATGGTTCGTATTGAGAATAAAACACATTGAACAAAAAAATGTTATAGATTTGATGAACGCAATCATATGGTGGCTGTTTTGCAAGAGAAACAATACAAACAAAATCGATATAAACTTTGCACTACATTTACATTTTAATGTAGTTTAAGTTCTAATGTTTAAACAGCAGACGTATGAAACCAAATATTCATAACAGAGACGTAACAGGCCGAAAAAAATGTGAACGTGTATTGTTTTTCTCATTCAACTCACAGTTCACTGTTGTGCACCACACTTTGCATGCACGTGTTATATCAAAATAATACGAAAATTGGTGTCAAATAATTAAATTGTCGATAAATAACCATTTTCTTTTCTGCAAAACGGATATTCCATCAAAATATAGCATTATTATATAACAGAAGATTCTGGAACATCTATATCTTAAATCCGGTTGCTATCAAATATCGTGGTGTGTGTATGTGTTTATATTAACAGTTCATCTCAACTAAACCGAACATCAGTGTCAATTTTTTTTTAATTATCCAAAACAGTGTTTTGTTCCTGTTCGTTTTTCAGTGAATTCATGACGAGAAATAAGTAAACAATATTCAAATTTGAACTCATTGCATTCATTTTCGGCGATCAACAACATTTCTTACAGTCAACTTAAGAGGGAAAATATCAACTATTCACTATCAGTTTCTCAAAATATCATTCAAAAATATTACCTATATCAATCTGAGATCACAGGCACCTCACGGTTTTGTTTCGTTTTTCCCAAGTATTTTTCAAATCTCAATCATAAAAATGATGGTTTGCTTGCTACTGGAGAACAATTAAAAACAACATTACTGTTGCAGCACATTAAACGTCATATCACAAAGTCAATGAAAACACAAGCAAACAGAACAATCTGGCTCATTGTATTTGTGATATTTTTCATGAAGACAGTGACACAAAATATATTTTCATTATTATCAGTGTTGAAATGAAGATAAATTTGTCAAAAAAAAAAAATAAACATGTAATGTGTGTCTAATGACAAAGTAAGAAGACATTCATCAATCAGTTTTCTTTGGAAGCATTCGACAAACGTTCTCACTGTAGCGAAAATAATTATGCGATTTAAACATTTTGCATTCGAAAAATTATATATAAAGGATTTGAGTTTATGAACGTTGGTCCAATATTTTTTGTACATATATAGAATTTTTTAACGTGTTTTTGTCATTTTTTTCGTTTTTGTTAAATGGTATCATCGAATTTAAATTAAGTGTCAATCAAGAAAAATTGTCGAAAAAATCGCAGACGGCAAAACTAACGACAGTATTCGATTAATAATTAAAAAGTGTCAATTCGGACTAAAATTTCAGTTTAAGGTTGAAAAAAACATTAAATAAATAAAATCGAGGAAAATGGCATCCGAAAATGTTTCGGCGCCATTGAGGTAAACGATGAGTAGATTTTGTGAAGAAATTATCGCAAGTACAGTTAACTCTTTACTTGCGTTGAATATATGTGGGTCTATCTGTTTATGTGAGTGCTGATACGTCACGCTACGGTTATGATGAAAAATATCACATTTTATCGTTAATATAAGTTTTTTTTATTTCACACGCGGTCTACAGTTACAATTCGGCTGCGAAAGAAAACGTTTAAGAAACATGCTTTTATCTACAGAAAAAAACTGTTTTTTTATTGAAAATCAACCTTTTTGCTTATAAAAATGCAATTGCTACCATTCAATAGTATTTTTTTCCTATTAGAAATAATTTCATGCCATGCGGGCCCATTTGAACGCAGCAAATTCAATTTAAATTGAGTTATCGGCAGATTCTTTACATTGTTGAAAATATTTATGTATGTGAGAGAGAAAAAAGTGTCATGTGAAGTGACCACTTCATCATCGGCCTCGTAATTTAACCGAGCTTCGCTACGTCAAAGTATCCACAAAAAGTGTATTCCATTGAAGTGCTTGCAATAATGTATATCTCCCTCTCTTATTTATTTATTTATTGACATTCATGTGCAATTCTGAATTTTCCCCAATTTTTTTTTCACGTAAAAACAGTAAAATAATGACGATTCAGAGATAAACTGAGATAGCAATTTTATTTTTTGTTGCATGAATTATTATAAAATGCAATTAAATCCATTTGAAACGCAAAATAAACTATCACATTTTTTGTGTGTGGGGCCAAATGAAAAACTACACTTTGTACTTCATATTCAATTTTATCTCTCTTTCAAATTAGCACTCAATAAATTTTTCTTGGAAACTGAAATAATAATAGTTTGTCACTGATAACCGTGTATATTATCACATTGGCGTTGATTTATTTTTGTGCAGATAAATGTGTCGCTAACATTTCTTCTCTGTCGTTGTCAATTTCATTTTTATCAATCGCATCTGCTGTTTGCATTCTTTTTTTTTTTTTTCCCAATATATATTAAATTTAACAAATTTTAATTTAAATGGCAACATTTATTGGGTCATTTCAAGCAACAATTCACAATTGATGTTTGATTGTAGCCCATTTTGTGAAGAGTATTCTCTGGCTGCACAAAAAAAATGTGTATCGGTCAATTGGTTCTGGTTACTAAGTGTGCTGTTGTGCGTGCGTATGTGCAGTTGATGGACATGAAATGGAAATTCAATGTTTACATGTATATTAATTGATTGTATACAAACTGCAGGCATATCGAAACAATATATTTCTTCCGTTTTCAACTGGACACCGATTTTATTTTTATTTTTTCGCTTTGCAACACTTGAATTTCGTAACAACAAAAAATGCCATCAATTTTTTGTGGTGAATGGTAATATTAATTCCCGAACATTTTTTTTTATTTTTTAAAAATTTACACCAAACTTGAGAATGTTTTTATTTTATTACGAATTGAACCGGTATTTTATTTGGATGGTAATTGATTTAAGTGGTTTGCCACAGAAAAAGTAAAACCTCGAATAAAATTTCATTAGTTCAAAAATGAGGCACACCATCATTTCCTAGTAATCATTCAATGACACGCAAGACTCGCTTTCCTATCTCCATCTCTCTCTTTCTCCCTTTCTTGCTCTATACGTAAACCAGAAATAGCATTGTGAACGATGTGTTCCGCATTGCAAGCGAGATATCCAAAGTTTTACAAGATGGTCAGATGGAGTTAAGGCCGATGTTTATCGTATAAACTTGATAATTATTTATTTTAGTAGCGAATTACTTGCTAACTTCCATCAAAGTAAAATCATCTAAAGTTTGTGTGTGTGTGTGAAAATAAAGCAATTATAGTCGGTTTGATAAACGTTGTTTCCATAAAGTCTATTGTTTTCAGTGGATCACAAAATGGTTACGATGGTTTATTGAATATAAACCAATAATTTAATCGGTTCGTCTGATTTAATAGCCTTGCTTCGTTTATAAACCCACTCGAAATTGATTAAATTGCATTTTATTGGATGATGCTGCATCTTTTACACCCCCAAACAGCATAATTGATGTTGCATACATGCAACATTGTAAATAGACGAAATATATTGTATATATAAGGGAATTTAAAGTTTACGGCTGTTGCTTGTTTGACCGAAATTCGACATCGTCTAAGTATGTTGACGTTCATACGATATCGATATATGCAATTTTTGGTTAACTTTTCATTTAAGTTGCCCAACCGGAAATTGGAAAATCCTTCAGTTTTGGTTTCTTTAATTTCCAAATCAACATGCATAATTGCATACACACTTCCATTTGGATCATTGAGTCAGGAAATTAAATTGATTATGTGTGGGTGGAGGGCAACATTAAGATAAGCGATTTACTACCTTAAATTGTTTGCGATTGGCTTACTTTTTTTGATCGTAATATCGTACACAGAAAATGAAGACGTTTCATTCCATTGTTGATATAACTGAAAAGTTTGCAATAAATTGATTCTCAAGTGGATTCACTGAGAAGGAGATTAATTGCAAGTATTGGTACTTTTTGGTTTTATGAAGCCGTACAAATTATTTTACTTGAAGAAAATTACTTTCGGTCGATGGCAAACAATAAAGTCAAATTAACCTTCCTCTTCGTAAAAATGAAATCAATGAAACCAGAACAACACCATTCTGACATTATGACGAATGTTGATGTATTCAAATGTTGAATACCGTATTAGTTCAAATTATCCGGATGAAATGAGTATTCAAGTTGACTCAATGAATCAAACAAATGAAATTGGATTTGCCAAGAAGCTCGATGGATTGAAAACAATTGACTGATTTTCAAGTGGTGTAAACAAACTAAATTTATAAGCGATTTTCATTTGAAATCGACGTATAAAGCTAGCATTTTAGTATAATGGGAGAGAACAATGAGAGAGAGAGAGAGAGAGAGAGAAAGATAAGAGAGAGGAGAAAGAGGATGGAGAGAATTATATAGAGAGAAGAGATCCCTTTATGTGTACTAAGTATGAATGTATGAATTGATTTTTGTCGAAAAACAATCAACTTCCTATTTAATAAATTTCCACTTAAATAATGAATCACACAGTTCTACGCTGCAACATTCGAAACCTTCACATTGTTTTACGAAATACAAAAAAATGTAATGAAAATTCGAGAAAAAAAATGCTTTGCCATGGTTTGTTTCGCCATGACTTTGATGCGCATTTAATATTATTGATACAAAGTATGAGAATGAGAAGGTATTAGTTCTGAAGTGTGCAATTTTGTGTGTTTTATATTTCTCACTTGACCGCAATATATTGGCGTTTGGCTGTGGGCAAAAAAAGAAGCGTACACTCAATGTTGCTATCAAATGGGTTAATGGTGTTTTATTGAATGCTGTACACTTGAACATTTTCATTGTGGTTGGCACGCGCGAAAATGGTTTTTTTTCCCGCCGCCAGTTACACTGTTGTTGCGATGAAATCAATTAAAAATGAGCGATCAACCAGAACGAATCGAAACTGCAATCAAACGAACTTTGATAAATTGCTTTCTATTTTTCTTTGTCTCGATTTTTCCTCCGAGTTAAGAATCGAGAGAAGATTTGCCCATTCCGAAGAAAAATTTTTGTTTCTCAAGTTTTTTTTGTAATCAAACACTTCTCAATTTCTCGCCAATTATTTGCACGTTTTTTCTGTTTTTTATTTACAGATCATATGACAATAAATCGTATGGTACAACAGCATCAAATGATGCACCAACGATTGTGTACTGTTTACACGGTCGTTTATCGAAAAGTTGCTGCAACGAGCAAGTGGTGGAGCTTACCCAGATCGAAAGTAAGTATGCGATTGCGGTGATTTCGTTATGTCATCAAAAATGAAATGGATTTTTAAATTAAAATGACTTACTTGCATTTCAGAGCACTGTCACACCGACAATGGACGCACCGAAGGAATTGATGTGCATGCCCGTCGAAAACTCTTCATCGCCAGTATTTTGTGTGTTTTATTCATGATTTTAGAAATTATTGGTGGCATTTATTCGAATTCACTGGCCATTGCAACGGATGCTGCCCATTTGCTGACCGATTTTGCCAGCTTTATGATATCGTTGTTTGCGCTCTGGTTTGCCGGCAGGCCATCAACACGCAAGTAAAATGAAACTCAAGCATTTATGACGTGCACATATGTGAATTACACGCTTTTTTGCTGCCGCTGTTGTTGTGAGCATGTCCCAATATGCGTATTTTATTTCTCTTCATCGTTTGCAGGATGTCATTTGGCTGGTATCGTGCTGAGGTGCTTGGTGCGATTGTGTCAGTTTTAATGATTTGGGTCATAACAGCCATTCTAGTTTATTGGGCAATTGTGCGTTGTATCACGCGTGAATTTGAAGTTAACGCACCGATTATGTTGATAACGTCAGCGATTGCGATTATAGTGAATATTATGTAAGTTGAGATCTTTAGCTGCAAAACAGCAGCAATAACAGTCAGCTAAAACTGTCGGTGTTATGCATTGAAATATCATCCAAACATGTACATGTGTCAGAATGATGACGTGGGAAGCGAAAACAAATGAATGAAGTTTTCGGGGTGAGAGAAACAAAAAAAGGGTTTATCAGTCGAGTAGCACTTTGTAGTATGTGAAATGGTGGAACGAAGATGTTCAAAAATAGTGGATACTTTGACATTTGCAATTAATTTTAGGCGCAAAAACTTTTGCTCATGTTTTACATTCGATTTATTATACTTACGGAATGTAAGAAACAGTTCTCGAAAAGGGTGAAGAAAAAAAAATGATTGCAATAAGAAAGACAGAGTGAGGAAGAAATGAGAAATCTCAACCGTAATTTTAAAACCAACTACAAGTGACTTATCGCCAACATACACCCACACACCCACACAACCATAGTCGTAAGTCAATGCAGTCCCTTTCTTGTCGGGATAAAATATACAGATTATTAGGCGCAATTTATTAGAACTTCACAAACTACGCAGACACTGTCAAAGATAAACTCACATAAATCGTGAGGTGTTTGTTTCGACTTCGGTCATGATTTCATCGTCGTTTTCTCATGTACGTCCGTTTTTCATTCTTGTGTGTGTATGTGCGATGCATGGAACGAAACCGAAAATGAGCATGTTTCGTCATCTTGGTGAACAAAACTTTGTTGGCCATACTATTTTCCCATTTCCGTATCGAATGAAGTAAAAAAAATTTCAGTGATATTTTCTTCGATTTTCTTCCATTTTCATATATTATCATTTAGCATGGGATGGCAACTACATGGAACCCATGGACATTCGCACGGAGGCATGAGTAGCAGCGACGGCCATTCCAATGGTCATGGTCATTCGGAAAATATAAATGTGCGTGCTGCTTTTATACATGTGCTGGGCGATGTACTACAGAGTATTGGCGTTTTTTGTGCAGCCATTGTCATTTATTTTCAACCTACATGGCAACTCGCCGATCCCATTTGCACATTTATCTTCTCAATAATTGTACTGTGGACCACGATAACCATATTGAAGGACGCGATACTTGTAAGTAGTAGTGAAGTGTTAGCTATCTGACTACGAAAGTGTTTTTCCGCATTTTTGCATTTAATTTCTGTAATTCCATCTTTCTTTTCTGTCTATTTTGTTTTACCGCAAAACAGTGCAATTGCATACACATTCCGCAATGGTAACGTTGGCAGCAAAGGGGCTCGAATTACCTCATTCAGTATAACAATTAGAATTCAGAGTTAATGACTGAATGACCTTATCTCTTCATTTTCTTTGCTGTCGTTTTCTTCCTTTTAGCTTCGCTTTCTGTCTCTTTCTCGTACATTGCCTGTCTTCCCGTTATATACTTATGCGATCCCCATAACACAGAGCACTATTCTTGGTATTTCGCAACAAAAGTTCACAACGGGAAGGAGAGAAAAAGAAAACCAGAATACACAGCAAGAGGATATTAAGAGAAAATAACCAGCAAATTAATTGTTATTACACCTGTTGTTGCTGTTGCCGCTGCTATCGTTGCTGTTGTATTATTGTCCGCCTGTGTTTAATGTTGTGTAGATTTTCTTGTTGTTAGCCTTTGCGACCCGCGCTGCTTCTCATTTTCATTCTTCCCACATACATATACAATCACATTGAACCACTCTGAATGAACGTTTTTCTTCTATTCTATTCATTACGCTTATTTACACATATACAGGTACTGATGGAGGCAACGCCAACATTTTTAGATTACACCGATATTATGGAAATATTTATGCAAGTCGACGGAGTAGTTCGTGTACATAATTTACGATTATGGAGTTTGAGCATCAACAAAAATGCACTATCAGCTCATTTAGCAATCGGTAATTAGATTTTCACCGCATTTTGAGAATTTCAACATCAACGTTGCTTTTTTTTCATTTCGATTAATTTTTTTTTCTTCATTACATGTTCCTAACTTAAAATATTTTCTTATTGCGTTCCATTTACTTAAACAAGATCAAAATGCAGAGCCTGAGGATGTGTTAAAGAGAGCCAATAGTGCAATTCAAAAGAAATACGAATTCTTCGAGACAACGTTACAAATAGAACGATTTCAATCGGAAATGGATGATTGTCAGCAATGTGTCGGACCGTTGAAATAATGTACACACCAGAAGTCGTTTGCTCGTTATTCATATGCCAGGAATGCCATTCATAGACTAAGTCGCACCGTTTTTTTATGAATAATAATACAATATCATGGCTATTTATTCACATAAGAACATTGGTAATTGTTTGCATAGAAAGAAAGAGATTTCCAGCAGTAACCTGTGTTTTTAAGCAAATACAAGCAAAAAATTTATTAAACATTTTGTCCAACATTTTGGACTGTTTTCAAACCGAATCCATTCGTATTTTATTTTCACAACCGTTTCATTCGTGCAAAAAAAATGCAGAGCATGAACAAGTGAATGAGATGGAGTAGATGAAAGGGGAAAAAGGAGAGGACAACAATAATACTCAAGTAAAACCACTTTTCATTTGTTTGCCATTCATTAAAAGTTCATTAATTTTGCATAATTATTTCATACAATGAGTCCGATTAAGATTAAAGGATGAGATAACCGGCAGCACTAGCACAGGCGAGTGCTAACAAAAAGGAGAAGACGCCAAAATGAAGCGTACGAGCAAGAATTAGCAAGCGAGAGAGAGACTTGAAATTGAACATGGACTACAATTTCATGAGCTATTCCTTTGTGTTTTATTTATTATATTCGTTGTAATACATCATTCAACGAACAAATATTATTCATATTCTTTAGGAAATATGAATGGACAAAGTTTTCCAACCAGAGAAACTCAACACCGAATCCGATTACATTCACTTTGCTTTCTTTTGTTTTCCAACGAAAGAAAAAACCATACGCACACACATAAAATATATGTGCGGCAACTAATCCTCAACCATATAGAATTAAGGCCATCAGCCAACAGCCATGTTCACATGTGCGCTTAGTATTAAAACCATTTGGAGTGTTACTCGGTGATATCTGCTTTTCCATGTATTTTCAGTTGGTTTTTTATTTATCTACGAATTTTATTCGTACTTTCAAGATCATCATTTACGATTTCTATTCATTTGTATTCCAGTTATATATAATCTCTAATAGTCAATTAGTCTGAGTAACTCAAAACGCTCATTCGTTCTGTCCACAAAAAGTTTTGGTTATGCACATACATTGAGTCTATTAAAAATTTTCAGTTTTATGAATCGATTATATTCGATGGCGCCAATAAAACTGGGCTGACAGTAATTGGTCACAAATGTAAAGGGTTGAAAATACGCTCATATTTTATTGTGCAGTATCATTGGAGCAATCGATTATAAATCAGCTTTCGATTTACGCAATTTTCGCTTAATCAATGAAGTACGGGTAATCTTTTTGACAAAGTAACTTTGGTTTTTTAATTTAGTTGGAAGAAATGTGGCATAATAGACAGAACTCTTTAGCATTTAAAATACTTTTGATAAAGTGAATTGCTAATTACCAATGACCATCTTCACTTCGATGTGACTTAAATTAAAAGTAAAACTTTCGATCTTAACCTCAGATCTTTCGCATTCAGTGTAATTTATTTATTTCCACATTTTAATTCGTATAAAATGTGAATTATATTTGTTGAATAAAAGAAAATCCGGTGATTCTCTTGGGCCAAAATGGTATTAAAAATGGCGACATCTGCAAAAACTCGTTATTGACTTGAACCTTGATGGTGAATGTATTCAACTGTTGTTCGTACTCGTTAAGAATCTGTAGAAGTGAAAATTGCGGTAAAAAGTCATTATCGAACAAAAGAAGTTTTTGATTCGTGCTCGTGATTGCTTAAAAGTAGTTGGGAATAATACTGTAAACTTGCATCAGATGAAGTAAAATCCATAAGTATATAATTTGAGGCTGTCCGAATGACATAGAGAATCAACATGATAAAAAACGCGCACACACACACGTAAGTGTATGGGAAAAATGTCGAATGAAATGTAGAGAAACGTTAATAATTCTTATCAGACAGACTTTCTTCCCTTTTGGTGGCTTTTAAATTTAGTTCATTTAACTTTTTCTCTTTGCCATTCTCTCGATAAAAGCAAAACGAATCGAAGGCGATACGTGAAAATGTGTAGCAAACTATGAAGGCGAAGCCAAGTCAAGAAAGTAAATGATAACAAAACGAGAGTGTCGCACGAAAATGGCAACACAAGAAGAAAAAACCATCGAAAGAGCGACAAGTTTACACATGTACAGTACAAGAGTGGAGAAACATTACAATTGTACCATTGAGCTAGATAAAAAGTGCTGTTTTCCTGCAACTTTTCCATTTGTACCTGACATGCAGAAGAAGTGAAAAAAAAAAGCCCGAAACTAAACGAACCAAAATGAAAACACACACATATACATACAAAAGCCAGTAACAAGTAGAAAAACAAACCCGAAATAACATTCTGGCATTTTGCATTGAACTGCATCGTATTTACAAATATTTGACTTTTTCTTATAGTTTCCTTTCTTGTTAACGCGTCAGTCGTTCGCATTTATGCCTTTTCTATTATTCAGACGCTATTCGTTTTGCTAAACTTTTTATGGCATTCATAGCTATAAAATGAAAGCATTCACAATATGGAAAATGGTTTTCTTTTCGCAAATGTACATGTATGAATTGTGCGCTCAACCACTCACACTCGCATGCACACATGTCTCTGGCTGATGATGTTTGTGGATGTGCTTGAAAATGCATTCACAATATTATTGATAGGTCCTGATTTTGACTGAAGGAAGTGTTGATAACGGTTTTTGAACGAAGAGTAGCTTGTGAATGTTAAATGCGATGTTCTTGTGTGAACTCTATCGATATACACGATTAATGTCATGTATACATTTAAGCGCTTTAGGGCACCGTCAATTGATTTGCTTTTAGCGGATTGAAAAATGATTTGTGTGTATGCGTGTTTTTTTTTCTATTTTTATGCAAAAGAAAATCGATGGCCATTGTCATTTGGCATTCGATGCAACTAATTTTCAACTGTTTTGATTAAAGTTATGTTCCATTGTTGATGTCACATTGCACGAATAAAAAAGATATCCTGTTTTTCCATTTCGTGTGGCTGCTAACAACAAAAACATGTTTTGTGTGACTCGCTGTCAAACCGAATTAAAAATGCATTTGGTACATTGAATGGAGTCCAGTCGAATTCCACGATTTGCAATTCAATTGGTTTTTCTCTTTAAATCGTCCATAAACGTTTCATTGTTTCCAAGTCTCGCCACAATATTGTCGGTGTATGTGATCCATTCAAATGCATGCACTGATAACACTTCACATGCTTTTTATCGAATTAAAATGTGAAACAAGCTAAAATGTGAAATCAACTATTACTTCGTGCATGCAGTTCTTTCTCTTGTTTTTCACATGCAGACATTGACATTTTTTTGAAAATATCAACGGCAATATATTCATAATATGAGTTTGAATATATTGCAAGCGAGGAAAAATGACAAGTTGGAAAATGTGAATAACAAAGTTATGCGTGAGTGAGAGTTCGTCTCATAGAAGTTTGAGTAAGTAATTTGATTCGTACAAAATATCGTTTTTATGTATTTCCTTTTGTGCGGTTCTTTTACGTTTATTCTTTGAAGAAGATCACAAGAAACTGTTTCTCAGAGCACTAAATGTTAGGAGGAGCGCTCTGAGGAGCTGTTAGAGTAAAAGAAATTAGAAAGTTAAAAAATATTCAAAATTGATAATTATATGGACAAATAAAGATTTAAACGGATAACTACTTACCAGTTCCAAATTTAAGATGCCATGTTATCTAGTTTTCAATGTATATTTTTCTGTGTGTATATTGATCCGATATGGTCCACAAAAATTCCAAAATCGTCGTCGTATGTGTGTTTGTGTGATGCATGAACAAGTGCCATTATTGCCTTACAACAAATGCAGGTAAATCGATTTTGTGCAGTGTTTATGCAATCGAAAAGTTTCTCGTTAGCAGAGAAAACTGTAACAAAATTTATGTTTTCTATCAATTTTCACCTTTCTTTCGTTTTTTGCTTGTTTACCTAAAGAAACTTCCAACGATGTTTATCCTGATCAAAAAGGAACCACATCGAACTTCTTCCATTTGCACGCAAACGAAGCAAGAGTAGTTTCTGCACAAGTGTTTGTGTATTTTTCGTCTTCTTTTTTTCTTTCCATTTTTCAAACGACGATGGTAATCCGATTGAAATTGCAAAAGTTACCGTTTGCAGTTTGCTACTCTCTCTCTCTGTCTCTGTTCCTCTCTCTCTCTCTCTGTGTGTGTGTATTCAAGTTTTTTTTTGCTGCCACCACATATATACGAATAGTTTCACCTACATACGCATCGTATATTATTTCGAATAGGTGAATTTATTTGCAACGGAAGTCTTTCAATGAAAGAGCAATTCTTTTGTGTCTCTGTCAATCAATACAGGGAAAATTCAATGTTTACACGCAATTTCCATTTGGGTCAAAGCTTGTTTATTACTCAAGTAAAATTCCGTCGTTGATTTCGAGTATAATTCAATTTTGTAAGTGTAAACACTTTTATATACATACTGTATAAAATAATAAGTTAAATACATTCAGAAGTTTGGTTAAATTGGTATTTGTAGGCGACACATCTTATGTATTCCTGTTTTTCTTTCATGCAAAATTGGACAAAGTCTTTTGATGTCCAATGCACCAAAAATGTCAAGTTTGTGGTTGTTTGTGCAACAACCACTTGAAATTCACGTTCTAGTTTCTGTTACATTGAAAGTAACCCCATGCGAAATTCTATGTAAAACTTTAAGTATCTTAATAATGGAGCGTCTTAATTAAAATTTATTTACAAATTGACTTTAAATCAGTCAAAGACAAATTGAGATGCGATTCGTCCCTTTCAAACTAACCAAGTTGAATTACTTCATTTTCCAGCAAGTTTTGATTCTTTATAATGATAATAGTACGCGCGACAGAAGAAAAAAGAGAGAGAAAGAGCGGATATTATATGATTTTATTTCCAAGAAAGTTTTCACCCTCTTCACCTCTCGGCAGCGTGTATTATTCAAAAGATGCTAAAGATTTATATGTGTACGCCGAATAAAAGCAGTTGCAATTTTAAACAGTTAAAATGGAGAAAGATTCTTATTTTTGTTTGTGGCAAGTTGAAAATTGGTCTCTTAAGGGACTTAACAACACTTTTGGCAGCCAGCACCCAATGTGTGTATTTTGTAAATATACAAAAATGCCATGAGCAGGTAAACTCTTTCACGTTCGATATATATTTACTGGCTCAATTTATGTTGACTGGCCCAAAAGTGAACATCTGCATGACGGTTGAACTCA